TGGATGCCTCGCATTTCCTAACGAGGGAAATGGGAGTGTGGAGGAGATCGTTTGCACTTCTTGCCAGATGGTAGAGGTTGCCCAATTGTAAATGGGAGTGGGAGGTATTTCTTTATTTACTTCTTTATTTATTTATTTATTCATTTATAGCACGTGATCTTCATTAAGAAGTGCCACGATGCAGATAACAAAGAAAAAAGTGCCCGACGGCAGTGGTTTCCTCTCATTTCCTAATGAGGAAAGGATGAGGCAAGGAACAGGACGAAAAGGAAGAAGAAGAGGAGGAGGAGGAGGAGGAGGAGGATGATGATGATGATGAGGAGGAGGAGGAGGAGGAGGAGGAGGAGGAGGAGGAGGAACGACTATTGTTAAATGGGAAATTCAATGAGGGCATGTTCTCACACTTGGGAGTTTCCTCGATGTATCTGACAGCAATTACGGCCTGTACTGGATGTACCTGACCGCCATTACGTCTAGGGAGATCAATTGAGAAAGAGTCCCAGTAGTGTCAGTACGCGCTGAGTGAGGACGTGGTTGCCTAATCGTCCAGCTTTTTCTAGTCCACTACTACTTCATTTCCACCATCAGCAGAGAGAGAGAGAGAGAGAGAGAGAGAGAGAGAGAGAGAGAGAGAGAGAGAGAGAGAGAGACGCANAGAGAGAGAGAGAGAGAGAGACGCACAGAGACAAGAAGAGGGGAAGGAGACGAAAGCGTGGGCAGAGAGAGAGAGAGAGAGAGAGAGAGAGAGAGAGAGAGAGAGAGAGAGAGAGGTTACAGTGAGCAATGCGGCGACATTGAGAAATCATAAAGCGGGGAATGGGAGCAAGGAGATAGTTGGTGGACACGTGCCACGTATCACGCCTGGAAGGGGTTGCTGGACACGTGTCACGTCTTATGACTTATTATAGTAAACAGCTCTACTGAGGTGGGTAGGACTAGGAGGAGAGAAGTAAGAGGAAGGAATAGGCGGAAGAGGGAGGAGGAAAACGAGGAGGAGGGAAGAGGAGCGAGAAGACGAAGGAAGAGGAGGCGAAAAAGGAGGAAACAAACACTTCAGGAGGATAAAACGAGAGAGGGGGGCGGAAAACCAAAAAACACACGTTAGTCAGAAAAGCACCGTCCTTTTCCCGGCACACTAAGACATCATTTTTTTGTTTTCTTTTTTTTTTAAAACAAGAACGGTCAGTAACGGTCAGTAACGGTCAGTAACGGCCAGTAACGGTCAGTAACGGCCAGTAACGTCCAGTAACGGTCAGTAACGGTCAGAAGGCGATCAAAAGGCGATCAGGAGCGGTCAGTAACGGTCAGAAGGCGATCGGGAGCGGTCAGTAATGGTTACTAACGGTCAGTTAACGTAACGGTCAGTTAACGTAACGGTCACTAACGGGTCACTAACGGTCACTAACGGTCACTAACGGGTCACTAGCGGATCACTAACGGGTCACTAACAGGTCACTAATGGTCACTAATGGTCACTAACGGTCACTAACTCTGTGAATCGCTCTAGCCGCGTTAACGGTGGTAAGGCAGCAGAAGTTTCTTTTTGTTTTTTTTTTCAATCCATGATCCTTCCGCAGTGGCTTATGATAACGGTCCGTAACGGTCCGTAACGGTCAGTAACGGTCTGTGAATCGCTCTAGCCGCGTTGCGGTGGTAAGGCGGCGTGACTGTTTTTTTTTTTTTTTTTTGGGAAATCAATGATCCTTGCGCAGTGAGTTATGTCAACCTGTTGTGGTGTTTTTTTTCTATTACGCTTTTTTTTTTTCCGTTTTGCACTGCCGGGCCCTTCAATGGTCATTAAAAATAAAATAATTTAGAGAATAAAATAAAAGGCACTGGCATACAAGAGGAGGAAAAAAATACGTTTTAAAATATGCAGCGTGACAACCATAATGTCCACATTCAAAACGAAAAAAAATAACATTTAAAAAACGAGGAAGAGAGACAGACAGGCGCACAGAGAGAGAGAGAGAGAGAGTCGGTGTGTGTGTGTGTGTGTGTGTGTGTGTGTGTGTGTGTGTGTGTGTGTGTGTGTGTGTGTG